TTTCTATACTTGACAGAACCTTGTAAATCAGATTTTATTCTTGTACTTATTTTCCGAATACTATAAATGAGGCTGTGATCACTAATTCCGAGATGGACTACACCTGAAAAAATTATTTTTTCAGGCATTGACGCAATTACTACATCCAATAATGATTGGCTAGACTGGGTAATACGCGTAGGGTTATTAATTAATTGTGTAAGCTGATATAATTCCAAAACGTCTTGAAGCTTTTTAGTGGTGGACAAAGTTGGTTCTAGCATATTACAATTTAAATCTCCCAAAATATAAAATTCTATATTTTCATCATCAATTGATTTGATTAGCCTCTCAATTTTTATAAACACTTCACTAGCGGAACATGGTGGTCTATAAATACTTGAAACTATAAAAGATTCACTATTAGTCTGCTTAATTTCCACACAGACAGCTTCAAGGCCTGTTGAAACTAGATCAGGGCGATTTTCATAATTTATATGGCGTCTTATATAAATACATACCCCTCCTCCATTTCTATTCCGATCAGCACGTAGCAAGTCATAACCTTCAATGCTAACAATCCCATCGGAAATAGTGGAGTCCAAACGGGTTTCATTAACTGCTAAAACATCTAAATATTTATCGTGAAGTAATAATCGGATTTCATCAAGGTGTTTCGGAAGGCTAACTACATTAAGCATAGCCATCTTAAAACCCCTTGTTTTCGGAATATTTAAACAGGCATCATTAGCACTCCTCCTCGACCCGTCCTCATTTCAATTATGCGAACTTAAGAAATATGAAAAGTTTGCCTGAAGCAAAGAGCTACCTTCTCGGTTTAAATGCAGTCCTCTACTATTTAAATGAGAGCGACTAATATTACTATTGTCTAAAAATGCAAGCTTTTTCTTCAAGCAGCTTGACTTTAATATATTGTTAGTTTCATTTAACTTCGTTGTAAGTTCCTCTCTATCGCATCTAGTGACTAAAGAAGAGATGATGACTTCAGTATCATTGCAATCCTTCTTAAAATTCTCTGCTAACTCGATAATTTTCTTTGCAATTTCTTTAGGACTTGAATAGCGTATGTCGTTTGTGCCTGCATGGATAATGAGCTTATCGGGTTGCTTTCGTGCAGTGGGCTTTAAGAAATCAGACATATCATTAACTGTTGCACCTGAGAAAGACTTAACTATTACGTTTCTGTCAGTGTTGGATACTTCCCAACCTTTTACATATTTAGGTAATTGTATTAATTTCTGAATTATTTATCAGGTGCTCCTAGACCATTTGGACAATCGGCTGAGAAATATTCCTATGAAAAAGGTACAGCATTTCACAACGCGGAAAACCAAGGGATCGAATTCAAAGCATTAACGCAGGAAAAGCCACAAAAATTACCATGGAAAATAATGGAAAAAGCAAGACTCTTTATTTGCGGAGTTCTTAACGCAGGAGGACAGGGAATAATATACTTTGGAATTGGAGATTCATGCGATGACAAAACTGATTTTATTCATGGAGAGATTATTGGCCTTGAGGTAGAACGTTTGAAAGATGAAATCAGCAAAGCATTTCAAAGTATTTTGGATGATCATATCAAAAGTGATAATGGCAAAATGACACGCGGTGGTGATATGAATTGTGTCAATTTACATTTTGTTCCAGTTACTTCGGAGATGAATCAAAACACTGGCAGTTACGTAGTTGAAATAGAAGTAAAGCGCGAGTGGAAATTTTGCAAAGACCAAGTATATTATGTTGAAGAATGGAGAAAAAAGGCAGATGATAAAAGTGAGTTGCAGTTTTCAATTGATGCATCCCGCATTTGCTCCATGAGTTGTTGACTCAATTGTTTCTATACCAATTGTCAACTCATGCATGAGGAAAATATTTAGTTTCAAACGCAGTCGTTAAGAAATGAACAGGTTGATGCGAATGGAATTATCACTCATAATTGTTACATACTTTTTATTTAACCAGAATCCGATGCAAAATATGGGCTACATAATTTGTTTAATGTGAAAAAAGAAAAGGATGAAGCGTATATTAGAACATGTGGAGCTACGCAGTCAGTGAAAAGCAGCGACATAACGAAAGATATCAAAGAGCCACTTTCTCTGAAGAACAAGGAATGGCTAGGTAATATATTATTAAGTACTGTAGATTGCATGCACTGTCCCTTGACAAGCGGTTAAATCTTGGAACGTTTTGGACGTGCATATATAAACCTTTGCCATTAAAATGAATCAGATGATATGTCATTTATATAATGCAGGTGTTGAAAAAATTCCTTGTCTCACCATATACTGCCCGTTACAACTATCAATTCCATTCATCCATGCAGGACTTCTAAGTTTGAACACTTCATAGTAAGAATTATGGAAGCCTAAACTTTATTTTATTAGTAATGGATAGCCGTAAATTGTCTCCCCTTAGATTCACTACTGTAAGTCCATCCTATGTTGCTTAAGCATTACCCTATTGGATGTAGGAAACCATGCAGAGAACACCAGAGGATCCTGCGATATTAATTAATTAATAAAGTCAAACTGGAAGCACTCTTTTTCTAGTTGTTGTTTGCAACGTTATAGTATATATAAGTATATTAATATTAAGTTCTTTGTATGTTTGCATGGCGATAAAATATAATAGTTTTGTTTGTGGAAACACCACGTAAATTTATTACTGCAATGTAAATTTATTACTGCAATGCAATCTAATAAAGTAAACAAATAAATAATAATTAATAATAATGATTGTAAACAAATAAATAATAATTAATAATGATTATTAATTATTAATAATATTAATATTATTTTCTTTGTCTTTTATCTTTGCTTAATTTCTTTCACAGATGAGAACGACAAAAAACAGCTCCGACGAATGCTCAGTCAAGGTAAAATTACTTTACACTTTTGTATTCAATAAGTTAGTTAACTCTGCATCATGCATGCATGTTAAATAGTTTCAAACTGTCACTATGTAGACTCCTAAAACCTAATCACATGTTGTGGTTGTTTAAACTTGTTTTGTTCGGAACCCAAATTCTAATGTGTTGCATGTACCCAATTCTTCAAAATAGAAAGTTGTTCAAAAATGTTACAGTTTTAAAGGCAACGAATATAATTGCTAATTTATCTTTATCGACGTCTCAGTCAGGGATCTTCCACAATTATTGACGTTTTCACAGCTGTAGAAAGAGCGCGGCTGGATCATGGTTGCGCAGGGCCCGCGGCGTATTGTGAGTGCGGGGTCCAATTGTCCCAACTCCCCTTCATCTACCAACACACCAAACTTAAAATTATCGAAGAAGCAAAATTGACCACGAAACGATTAAGTGCTTGCTTCTTAGTTTTACTAAATGACTAGTATCCTTCATAAAATTCAGCACTATTTAATTTCACACTATCTTGATTCGTGCAAGAAACATGATTCCGTAATAAAAGCAAAATATTTCGAACAGTTTTGTTTAAGATAGAATTACGTTTTGGGATATGTTTCGCAATCAGTGACGTACGTAGCAAGGTTTTCATTTCAACGAGGGATATCAGGGATTCTGCTTTTATTTTAAGACTTTTAAAAGCAGTATTCATGTACCATTAAATACCACAAAAACGGTTGTAAGAGGGTTAACGCTACCCTCGGAAATTTTCATAATCTATATTTTCCAAAGTGGGCTGAGCCCCCTGACCCCACATGTGGCTACGTCTCTACTAATTGTGATTGTTCAAGTCGCATATTTTTAACAAAGACTGCACTTTACGGAGGCAAGTAAATGTAGATCACGCCTCGAAGTTGCAAACTTTTGAGGCTCCGGGGTTGCTTTTTAGGAAAGGGAATTGGACCATGAAATTTTGTGCGCTCCACGATTATGGTTGCAGCTAATTTTGGCAACGTAATTTCTGGACACAAATCTTTAACGGGAGTGCAGAACAAAATTGCGGTACCAACTAAAATTATTTTAAATATTCCTTGAATCACTGTGTATTATATTGCTTTTCCTTTCATAATGAAATGATAGCCTTGACTAGGCTGCTCCCGCTCAAAATATAGCTATTAATGTCAATTAGGAAATTAAGGTATGTCTGCAACAAAAGTACACTCAAGAGGAATGATAACAATGGGTCTGTCAGCAATATTTTAAAGGCGTACATTGCAGGTCATTTATCCCTCCCCTGCGTACGCTTGATGAGCTTGGAGAATGTTGATAACTATGGAAGACCCATACGTGTTATTTGTCTTCGACTGGCAACTCTTGCCTTGACCTTGATAATTCCGTATATCACAAGAAACTCAATCAATATATTTGTTAAATTGTAGATACATTTGACGGTCGCCAGTTTAGCAGTGATGTCCATGAAAGTCTACGAGAACTTAATTCGAAAGAGAATGATTATATTCTTGTAGCGAATAAGACTCCTCCCGAGTACCGCGGAACAAATTCATTTGCCTTCCTACAAGCCATTCAGTGGATGGCTGTTTTTGATTTGTTTGACCCGAAAACCAAAGAAGATGGTCTCTACTACATTTTAAATATGACAAGTGATTCTCCACCAGTTACAAAAATGGAGCTAGGAGATTTCAAGCAAATTGAAGAAAATTCAACACGCGGTACGACGTGGATATTGAGAAGCCAGACAATGCATGAAAGTCTATGGATTCACAACTCGAAAGATTGTCTTTATCGAGCTATGTCCTTGTATCACGAACGTGCACCAAATGGCCGTATTCACTGTGTCTTTCTCGTCTTGAGTGAAGAAAATTTGCGGGAGATGGCGGACATTATCGATTCATGCGTGAGTATCATTGGTAACAACGCCAATAAATGCATTACCATTCTTTCCGAAAAGAAAGACGTTGGCGGTGCGATGACAAAGCTGTTGCAACCAGAAGTTCGTAAGGATTTAAAAAATCCATGCTCTATTTTTGGCTTCCCTCTCGAATTCCTTAGGAAAAGCGTTGAAGAAATGCTTGGCGAGGTTGCTTATGAAGATGCGACTGCAACCACCGAACTTCCGTTTTGGAATGGGAAATTTAAATCCATTTTAAACAAGAGAATCAATTCTTTGACCGATCTTGAAATCTACTCCCCAAAGCCAAAATTATCAAGTTCTTATAGAGAGGTAAAGTTGACAAGGGATAACTTCTACAAGGGTGAAGTAATTAAACAATTGAATCTAGATAACAATGATGACATCGAACGAACGCTTGCAACTGAACTAACACGGCGCATCGACCGTTCTCTGAAGCTTTTATCTGTTGAATCACCGGACGACACAGCGTATGTGGAAATTGTCTCACTGAGCTATGAATCTGGATCTGGTGCAACGACCCTTGGACGGCGAATGTTATGGAGTAAAAGAGTTTTCTACAGATGTGCTGTAGTTAAAGCCATTACTGAAAACACAGATCACCAAATTCAAGAGTTGCAAAGGTTTGGATATGAAACAGGCCAAGGGATAATTCCGCCAGTCTTAATATTGGTGGATAACTTCGCTGAACACCAGGTCCACAACCTTCGCGAAAAGTTGTCTCGAAGGAACACAAAATGTGTTTTGCTGAATACATTACCAATGGCAATTAAGTTGGAGAAAAAAAGTCATGATGATTGTTTAAAGTTGGGAAAACTCGACAAAGTAGAAATTCAAAGAGTGAAAAAAATATTGGCCAACGTGGAAGACAAAAACGAACAGCAAAAGGATGCGGCAGTCGAGAAAATCAAGCGCGAGAGAAGGTTCATCTGGCTTGGACTAGAGCTTTTCGGACGCCAGTACAACAATGTACGAAAACGCTTATCAGATCATATTCGTGATATAATTTCTCATAATGTCACGAATAGACTCAAAGGTGCATATGAGATGATTCTTCGTTTCTGTTGCCTGCTAGACTATTTCAGCAAAGGAAGATCGATATACCCACACCCCTGTATCGCAGATATTCTCTACACTAATGACGATCTGAAAAATGATGATATGAATCAAATAGAGAAAATTCATGACAAATTTGGAGGACTACTACTGGAAGACTACAGCGAGGCTGAGGGGTACCACGGGTGGAGACCGGCGCACTTTCTGGTTGGGGAAGTTGTGCAAGAAGAAATGGATTTTGTGCAGATTGCAAAAGTGCTAGTTGCAAATATGAACTCGGGAACTGCCTTCGCGAAAACCTTTTTAATCAACAATACTGTAAATGTATTCCTCAAGCGCGAGAAGATATCTGAAAGCTCGTCACAAAATATCAATGACACCGACTTCATTCTAGATGACATCAGTGGGGAAGACAAATTTAATTCATTGGAAGTACAAACGAGGTATTCTGCCTTAGTAATGGCTGCTATGCCAAATGAGAATTTCCCATCGAACGTTTTGAACGCTCTTGACCTCCTCGTTACCCTAATCGAAAACGTGCATACCACCCAACACAAAGCACGCACATGGCAACAAATAGCACGGGTGTTTGCTTATGAAATTGGAATGAAGGAGATTTCAGAAAAAATCGAACCTCTAGTGACTAGAGTTAATGAGGAACTTCAACTGTCTGACCAAAGTCTAAATTGTTCGCCTGCGACAAATGGGTTTGCTATTGCCCATCAGGTAATAGACCATGCCATTGACATGCAAAAATCTTTTGTAAACCATCTTGTAACCAAAGCAACCTTCTTTAAAGTCAAGCTTCGCGATCTTTATGAACAGGCAAAGGATATTAGCTCTAAAAATGAAGTATCAAAGGAAATTATGATAGAAGCTATTAGCACAACCAAGAAAGGCATTCAAGCGTATGATAATGCCCTAGCATCTCCTGATGGTTATTTACACGCTATGGTTGGAAAAATTCAAACAATTGTTGTACTTCTACAAATTTTCAAGACACATTCTTGTTTCACTCAGAATAACGTGGGTCCAGATGAAAGCTTCAAGAATTATATCACAATTGGAAACCATCCAGCAGCGCTCAAAGAAACATTGACGGAAGATGATCTTGACTATTTTCTTAGTCTCGCAAACAAGGTTGTTCAGCATCTAAACGAGTTTTTTGGAGAATTAAAGCTTCGGAAAAGGCAATATGGAAAACACGAAGAACAGGAGCTAATAAATGCAAAGATTAGGGCAATGGCACTTCGAAAAAAGTTCTACCAAGTCACTCGACGCGACCAAAGAAACGAAAGAATCTTTAATGACACAGGCTGTAAAGAAGATATTGTTCACGACTTATTATACAAGCACGAAGAAACGCCTTATAGCACGTGGAAAAAACTTCCAGCTGATGTTATTTCGCGTATTTATACAACTCTAAAACATGCAATTCCAAAGGGACCAGTAACTCGCGATTCCATGGTTATATGTGCCAGAGCTGCTTTAGAAGCAAACATTGCGGTCGATGAACTTGTTCAACATATACAACTTTGGGGAAGGCTTTTTCCCACGTCCGTATGGTGTCAAATGTTCAACTACATGATTCATTTCCCAGTTCCAAGTGGAACACTAAAGTCTAATGTTCCAATGGTTAAGCAATCGGCTGACTTTTGCAAGACTAGCGGCCCTCGTATACGAGAACGTTACAGAAAGTCAGGCGCAGAATATTTACTTGGTAGAGGCATTGGATTGAATGTCTTACTTTCTTCACACAAAGTTTCTCCAGACAGCGTGGAACACAAGATAGATTTCTGGCGTAGCTTAGAATTGTACGAAAAGCTTGAACGACTTCGTGGAGAAAAGATTTTGGGGAAGAAGGGTGTTTTGTCCTATAAAGGAATTGAAATCATGTTTGACAACGACAGATACCCAAAGGAAAGCAGGGATGAACTGTGGTTTTGTCTTGGTTTCACACTTAATGGTCCTTATGCCTACGATCCTATAGACGATGACACGTACAAGAAGATGGAAGGAGATTTTCAAAAGAAAAAGGAGAATGATGCATCCCAGGCTTCTGGAAGCTCTCAGGAATCAGGTGCAGAAGAAAGAACTCCGAAAACAGCTTGGCAAGGCAACAGCCAAAGAATTTCAATTGTTGCCCATTCTGTGTTTGATAGAACAATGCCCCAACAAACTGAACCAAGTAATCAGAGGAGCGAGAAACTAAACATGGAAGCTATCAAACAAAATTCAGAAAAAAGCAAAATAGCTCCACAGAGGTTCCAATACATTACAGAAGGCGAGTTTAAGAATAACCCGAAACTGATGCTTAGAAAGCGCACGAAGGAAGGAGACCAAAAGACATTCACACCACAGTGGAAAGATCAAGATGGTAAAATCCACCACGGAGCAGTCGTGAAAGGTGCGCCAAAATCACGTGAATGCCAGCGCCACCAGACAAAACCGCTCGGAACAAAGAACTGCCCGTTTGCACATTCATGGAAAGAGGACTATATCCAACAAACTATTTGTGATTTTTGCACCAAATCCAAACCGCCACGATTTGTCTGCTTGTGGAAAGATGAACATAGTCGCTATATCTCCGAACTTGGATATTACTTAGACGAGTCTGGAGAGATATGGAGAAATATTGAAGGCACAGCAATCGCATAGACATGGTGACTGAAACGTGATTTGCGCAGAATATAAATAATATTCGCAAGTGCTTCACTTGTATCTATCTGACAATGTCTTGAACTGAATAATTTATAATGAACTCACTATAAATAATGTGAACTATATTCATTGATTAATTTCTTCACGTAGGTGGCGTGATGCGAGTCACACTTCACACCTTTTTTGTTAAGTGTGACTATTTTTTCTTCTGTTGTTGTTATATCGGAATAAATATGGGTTGATTTACGCTCGATTTAGTCCTCATTCTTAACAGGTTTTGGGCGCAGGACGTGTAGGTCCGCTTGAGAAAATCAAACGCACGATTATGTCATAATTGTCTAACGAAAATAACATGCCTCGCCTTCGGAAAATGTGTTAAAGTTTGCGAAAATGAACGGTTTGAATTATCGAACGTGGGAGTTCAACATGTAGTTGTATTTGGAGAGCTTAAATATCTTTGAACACGCAGATTGGAACAGCTGAATCTCCCACAAGTAGTGCTAACGGTGAATCGCAACGAAGCTTCAACTCTTATATTTGTTTAGCCATAGAACCAGTGCAACAGATACATGTAAAAGAAACGAAAACCACGAAGGAGGCTTGAGATGCTTTGCAGAATCAGGTTGCCCGTGAATTAATTTTACATGATGTTGCGTTGGAACACATTAGTTGGCTTAGGTCATTGCGTTATCAATTGAAAGAAATGGGAGTGAATATAGATGACAAAGAGTTGGCGATGACGCTTTTAGCTAGTTTTCCCGAAGATTATAAGCCACTAATAATTGTTTTCGACACCATTGGCGAAGGAAACCTGCTCTACGAGAAACTTAAAATATGCTGTTAAATTATTTAGATCGCAGTAAAAACGCAAATAATTACCGTGAGGATGCATTTTCAAAATACGAGACGAAGTCAACACAATGATATTGTATTTCGAGGAAAGTGTGACACCTGTCATGAAACCCAAATCCCAAAGATGATTCACATGATCCCACTGGTAAAGGAACAAAGTTCAAGGGTTCTACTCGTTGTGTTGAAAAACAAAGTCCTGATATGTTTGTCAATGATGAAACATTAATTACCAATTTATACAACTTATGTAATTGGTAATCTGATTGGATAATAGACTCTGGAGCCATCCAACAACCTTTTTTTATCAAAGTATATGGAATTTAGACAAGCCCAGTTAATCTTAAGAATTAACAATCGATCAATTTTAGCATGTGATAAAAGTACTTGTCATATTATTGTAGAACTTAATGGCAATGTTAAACACATAGCTCTTCATGATGTCTTAACATACTTGAACTGGAGAAGAACTTGCTTTCGGTACGACAATAGTAAAATTAGGAGCTAGTGTTATGTTTGAAGACGGCATATGGAAGATATATTGTTACCTGTAGGTAAGGTGAGAGGGAAGCTTTACCTCTTGAAAATTATTCATAATGAGCATGTGAATATTGCAAGAGAGGTATCGAATTTACAACTATAACACTGTTGTTTTGGTCACCTATAGGTATAATTTGGTCACCTAGGTATCATTTTACTTCGAATCTCACTAAAAGCGAATGAAAACATTAGCCTACATATAGCAATGGTGGAGAATACTGCTCTAAATTGTTTGATGCATACCCGAAACTTCGAAAGAGAAAGGAATTACTCACCTGTTAACAGCCGCCTACAATCCTGCTCAAAATTGCATTGCCACCAGAATGAATAGTATAATAGTTGAATCAACCCTATCAATGTTATTCCATTCGAACACACAAACTGAATTGTGGGGCCAATGTGGGCTGCTTTGGATGGAATCTCTCTATGAATGCCTATTTCAATGAAAACCAAATTTAGGAAACCTTAGAGTCTTCGGTTTGTTGCATTCATTTATGTTCCAGTTAATTAATTGGCGAAAGAAACTTGAAGTAAAGTCTCGAAAAAGCAATATTCGTTGGATATCCTGAAGCCAGAAAGAGATATATAAACTGCATTCTCGCAGTTTTATCCGTAGCCGTGATTTTGCAGTCACTTTTTTGTGATTTCCTAGCAGTGAACATTCCACCAAATCATATTTTGAAGCAAATTTATATATAATAGGATAGAAAAAGCAATATTCGTTGGATATCCTGAAGCCACAAGGAGATATATAAACTGCATTCTCGCAGTTTTATCCGTAGCCGTGATTTTGTAGTCACTTTTTCGTGATTTCTTATCAGTGAACATTCCACCAAATCATATTTTGAAGCAAATTTATATACAACAGGATAGAAATTATAATAATATAATTATAATCGTAATTAACAACCAGTATAATATAATTAACAACCAGTTTTGCAGTTAAAACTGGATTACACTGGTTTTACAACTGTAAGATACTATATAACTAAAAATATGTACTGTAGTAACATATTATTTAAGAATATTAAAAGTAGAAGTTACAATGGTTTTACAACTATAAAATACTGTATAAGTCAGAGTGATGTAATAATATATACGATTTAAGAATATTAAAAGTTAAAAATGTTTCATGTCATATATAATGTTGCTACAGTCGACGGTATAAAACTTTTATGGTAGCGATCAGTTCTACAAACTGGAACCTTAAAACACCTATTGTGTTCTAAGTTCTGTGATCCTAAGAGCTGGAACGAGCGAGTTTAATTTGTGCCCTGGATCAAGCATTCTGTGGAAAAGTCGTTCGCAAAGGGTGCTTCGGCGATCGTACAACGATGGAACGTTGACTGTGAGCAGGTAAAGGAAGGGTATAGATAATTCGGAGAACTCTTTTCTGGATCTTTTCTATTTGGTTACTAATTATAAGGTATATATATATATATACATGGAGGTTGTTGTGCCACGCTTCGCATGCATACTCAAGGATTAACACATGCACGATGGACCTTGACTAGGACGGAGTCCGGAAGGGCGTTACTTTTCAACAGCCGCAGGGCGTATAAACGCTTGGAAGCCTTTTTACAGATGGCATTTACGTGCAAGTTCCATTTCAAGTCATTCGAGATGGTAACCCCTAGTAGCTTGACATGAGTAACGATGTTGACTGTTTGATTGTTATTATTATTGCTGTTATTATAGTGTGAAGCTGACCAGTATGTAGGCTTCACTATTTTGTATTGTAGAATTAGGTTAATATATGTTGTATAGTGTGCACGGCCCATTGAAAATCAGCGTAGCATGCTGAATGGCTAGCGTGCTTAAAGAATTTTAAAAATTAAAGATTAAAGATTTGGTATGGTTTATCAAGTCGAATGCTTTACTAAAATCCAAAAATAGTACCCTAATTATGGTCTTCGGTTTTTCCAAAGCTTGATACCAGTTGTGTAGCAACTTTAATAGAGCCAGGATTGTATATGAGCCCGGGAGACCACCATATTGTGCTGGGGATATGTTAGAAGAAATGTCTTCCATCATCCATTCAACTACAAAAGACTCTTGGATCTTAGAAAAAATACTTGTGAGGGCAATTGGGCGTAAAGCTTCTACAGACGGCAATGGAACAATCTTCGGGACTGGGCAGATATAATATGCTTTCCAAATACTTGGGAATTCTTTCGTTGAGAATGAGTTATTTATATTGCACATTACTGGTCCCAAAAGATCTGCGACAGATTTGGTCAAAGGGACCTGCAGCTTTAACTGAAGATCTTAGGAAAAAACAAACAAGCCATCGAGCAGCGAGTTGATATAGACAGTGGGAACCTATTAACTCCCCAGCTGACAAATGTCGAAGGTACAGATAACGACTAGAAAATACATGCATGCAGAAACCCTCGCCTTGCTGACAAAACCATTGTATTTTCCGAACATGAAGTATCTAAAGTAGTTGTCATGGTAACACGATAATTTTTTAAGAACATTCTTACAAATGAAAATCGCCTAGAAATATCACTTTTAGTTACAAAATTATAAATTTCCCAACATATATATATGTTAGGTATGTAATTATACGTAATACAAGCTTCAATTTATGGTAAAATTCAACCACAAACAATTCACAAAACGTTCCAAAGTGTTCTTTATAAAACTAAACTACCTTTACTCTTTAGCTATTATTATGGCTTTATCGATAAACTTTGAGTTTGCAATAAAATGATTTCAAATTCTTGCTTGCAAATAACTTTGCTTATTTTTTATTTAAAAAATTCAATATAATATAAAAAGGAATCAATATTAAAGATACACTGAAATTATATGCTGTCTTGTTTAGTTGTTTCATATACGCAAAAGCCGTCGGGTTTTAAAGCCATTATAAAATCAATATTTAAAACAAACTTACCTTCGTTAACGTCGGCTCCCTTCTTTTAGCCGATTCTTTCGCCTTTTCTTTCTTGAAATTTATAAAATCTTGCAGAAATACGAGCAAAAATGAAATATATTTGCAAGAAATTTATCAATCATTAAATCAAGAACTGTTTGCTATTGTGCTGTCGTCATGCAGTCGTTATAATGCAAACTTTAAATTGGACCAATTGGTGTCCGTTATTCATGATAGTCCGCCATATTTTTGAGATCAGTGAGGATGACCACCCATCGTTGGTGACCGACGCCCGCGCTCATTGATGAACTTTAGACTTCGCTAATGCTTTCGTTTCCCCGGGTGTAAATAGCCGGGGGAATTAGTACCCTCGCACGGCGCTTCGCGCCGTCGGCTCGGGGATTATGAGTGCTCCGTGACACGAAGAAAGACATCTCAGTTGACAAATGTCAAAGCTACGGACAATGTGACCCTAAATATGTCTGGTAACAGCGAATCACCAGAGTCAAGTCCATCGATAAATAAAAGCGAAGCAAGTGATGCCTTAGCTAAGGTATGTAACTATGACTGTGAATGTATAAACAGGAGCCTAACAACTGAACTTGAAGGTATTAAATTAGACATAGCAATTTTGGAAGGCAAATTATTACCCGAAGTAATTTCCCAAAATGCTTCGAACACTAACTTACTTAAAGCTAAACAAGAAAATATGGAAGCCATGCATTATACAGCATCAAGAAGAAATGATTCATAAACTTAGCGAGGAAAATTCAGTTTTTAAATCGAAACTTGTGTCCCTTGAAAATCTAGTATTTAGATTAACAGGTAATAACCAGGAGAACAATGATCGTGGGCCGGCAACTAATCCAATTAATACTCCAAGTGTGAAACTGAATAATTTAAACACAAACAATTCAAGTCCAATTAATAGTCCACCAGCAGTCAAGACGCCACTTAATATGAATAGAAATAATGCAAGCCCAATCGCCAGAAACAATCATGGTCCTACGATAAATACAACCAACATCTCAACCGGAAGGTCATCCTGTAACAGCGTACAACTGGATGATTTAGAACTAAATGATGCAAATCAAAGTATCACTGAAATCCCATCGGCTATATCTAAAACGTCAGCTAAGTCGAGGGAAAATAATGCAAGTTTAATCACCATCGAAAAACCATCCCCAAACAAAATCCAACTCAAAACTACTATAATCGCGACCCGAACAAAAATAACATTGATTCTGCCAACACAGACAAAACAAAAAAAGCTCTAGTGGCATGCCCGTTTCTGAAAAGGCGGGGATATTGTTTAAAGGGACACAAATGTGACTTCTTACATGAGAATGTCCTACCTGGAACACGCGGGAAGACATCTCCACAGAAGAGTGGTGAAAGATCTCTTCCTCCTAACATGCCACAATGCAGTAATAACCAATTTCCTTTTCCGTACGACCCAAATTATTTCCCCCCGATTCGTTTCCCATGGTTTTATCCCCTGTCTCAGCCGTTTCCGTACCCGTATGTACCTCCACATATGCCCCCACTGATGAGACCCCCACCACTCATGTCAATAATGACAAAACCTCCCGTACATTGAATTGTGAGACCTCTTCCCTGTATACCTCTAACACTCATCCAAACCCTAACCCTTTTGGCCCAACTACTAATTATTTAAATAATGAGTCTATATATTTGGAATTCAACCGACCATCTACAGAACTAAGTTGTCCCATTCCTGTGAGAATTACCAACAGAAATGTTACCACTGCAAATCTCACGAAAGTCAAACTGTTGCCTTTAATAGGTACTTGTACAACGAAATATGACTTTGGTCCTAGCGTATTGCTTGCGAATACCATGTCTCTCTTACCTAAAATTGACGAAGTTCGTTGTGTTATCCAAGACGAGAATCCTGATCTGGCCTGCTTCACCGAAACATGGCTACACGATTCAATCATCAACGATCATCTCCTTGTCCCTGGATATCATTTTACCTTTAAAAACCGTGTCTCCCAATCACACGGGGGCGTGTGTCTATACGTCAGGTCCACAATCCCTTGTAAACGATTGCCTGAATTGGAAGAACCTGAAATGGAGGTGCTATGGTCTCATATTAGGCCTGCAAGATTGCCTCGTGGTACTCCTTGTATTATCGTGGGTATCATATATCATCCACCTAGTTCTGACGACAAAGTCATGTTACGTTACTTAACAACAACACTCATCTCTGTAGAAAGCCTCTACCCTGGATGTGGCATTCTCCTGGCTGGCGATTTTAACCAACTGAAGATTCGCCGCCTGCTAACCCAATTCAAAATGAAACAACTAGTCCACACCCCTACTAGAGGTAACAACATCTTGGACCTCATAATCACCAACATGTACCAGATTTATGATCACAATTCTGTTCACTCCATCCCTCCTTTCGGTCTCTCGGACCACAATGGTGTCCTTCTTCGTCCCAAAGTGCGGTACCCTAACTCCAACTCTAGCAGGAAAACCCTGATGAGACGCGACACCCGCCCAAGTAGAAAATACGAACTCGGTAGGTACCTAAGTTCCATCCATTGGCCGTTTCTCGAAGATGTTGAAAGCTGTGAAGTCAAGTTACAACTTCTTGTTGATTTAATTACCGTTGGCGTTGACACAATCATGCCTCTAAAGCGAATAAAACTTCATGTAAATGATCCCCCATGGGTTACCTCTGACTTTAAAGAATTAATCAAATCTCGCCAGCAAGCCTTTTCAAACGGGGAAATGGAAAACTATCGTTATTACCGAAACCTTGTCAATCGAAAAAGGAAAACCCTCCAAAGCAGGTACTTCGCTTCTAAGATCCAGAATCTTAAGCAAACAAAACCAAGCCAGTGGTGGAACGCAGTTAAACGTATTGCTGGAATGGCGACACCTTGTGGCTCTGAGTCTCTATGTTCTCAACTGCAAATTCCAGGTATTGATTCACTTTCTCCGCACGAAATTGCCGCCATGATTAATACGGCTTTTTTAGAACCGATGCAAACTTATCAAAGTATTGACCCTCCTCCTCCTTTCGAATCAAACACTGAACTGCCCCAAATCTCGATCGAGGCTGTTTCGTCTGTATTGCGAAATTTACCACACAAAACACCCGGACCTGACGGCATCCCAAACTGGATTCTCAAAGAATATGCCATGATACTTTCCGATCCCATTTGCCACGTTATAAACTGTTCCTTCGCTAATCAAAGTCTTCCTTCTTCATGGAAATTAGCTGATGTTATTCCAGTACCAAAACAAAGCCCCGTCGAAGATGTCAATAACCACCTTAGACCCATCTCCCTGACACCGGCTATTTCTAAAGTTGCAGAGGAGTTTGCTGTGAAATTGTACGTTGCGCCAGCTGTTCTCGAGATCATCGACCCTAGCCAGTTTGGAGCCATACCGAAGTCCTCGACAGTACACGCCCTTATCTCTATGATCCATCATTGGGCCCAAGCAACGGACAGTACAGGAGCCGCAGTTAGAGTGGTCTTATTTGACTACAAAAAAGCGTTTGACCTAATTGACCACCAAATTCTGGTACAAAAGATCCTTAGCCTAAATATTCCCCGGAGCATCGCGCGCTGGGTAGCTGATTTCTTAACGAACCGTAAACAACGTGTCAAACTTTCACATGACTGCTTTTCCGAATGGGGAGATGTACCTTCAGGTGTCCCGCAAGGCACCAAATTAGGACCGTGGCTGTTCCTGCTTATGATAAATGACTTAAAGATCCAAGATGTTAGTAGCTGGAAATTCGTTGACGACACAACCATATCAGAAGTTGTCCAGATTGAAACGAATAGTCAAGTCCAAGACGCAGTTACATCAGTTGAAAAGTGGTCCACTGAAAATAAACTCCAGCTAAATGCCAAGAAATGCAAAGAACTCATCATCGACTTCAAGCATTCCAAACACATCTTCGAACCTTTGACAGTAAATGGTAACCTACTCAGTGTTGTAAAACATGTAAAGATCTTAGGTCTGAACCTCTCAAACGACCTCCAGTGGAACGTCCATATATGGTGAAATAATTAGAAAAGCTAATAAGCGTATGTACTTCCTAATTTTACTAAAACGTTCTAGAGTACCAACTGCGGACATCCGAAATTTTTTCTGTACATGTATTAGACCTCTGTTGGAATACTGCTCGCAGGTTTTCCACCATTCCCTCCCGAAATATTTGTGTGATGACTTGGAAAACGTCCAAAAGAGAGCGCTGGCTATCATTTCCCCGAACCAGTCATATGAACATAACCTGCAGAAGTTTAATTTAACTACTTTAAAAGATAGACGTATGAAGTTATGCGACAAGTTTTTCTCGTCCATCAAGAGTTCGGAATCTCATAAGTTACACAATCTTCTACCTCCTTTGCAAGAGGAAAACTACGACATTAGAAAGAAGCGAGTCTTCAATATTCCAATGATACGCACTGAACGCTTTAAGCGGACTTTTATTCCTTCGATGTGCAATTCTTAAAACATTTTGACCTTTGTAGTTAAACATTTTCTTGAACTGTCTTATATCTAAACTTAGCATCTAATGTAATTTTAAATTCGTGTTAATTATTAATAGCTTGTAAATAGGTTACGCAATTCAGCTTTTATAAGCTGCAATGTAAACCTTTTAATTAAACTATCTATCTACCTATCTATCTATCTTTATTCTGGTTGATATTTTTTAATCGATGGACAATTAATTCTTCTGATTCGTATGGAAGAGGTATGTCTATACCGCTAGAAAACCATGACTGCATGTGAAACTGGTGGATACTCTGATGTTAAACTTGAGAAAAAGCAGTTCATGTTTTCAGCCATTTCACCTTTTGACAGTGGCGCGTTCGTTTCTTTGTTAAATAGTGGAACGTTTAAGGTTATTTGTTTAACATTCTTCCACCACTGTTTAGAATTACTGGATTTCACTCTCTCGTCGTAAAATTTCTCCTTCTCTTTTCTAATCTCGTAAGTAACCTTGTTGCGGTAATATTTATATATAGATCACTTTTGAGATTAAATACTTTATTCGACCAGTTATGAAAGGCTTATCATTACAAAACTTCACCTTACAAAACTTCAAATTACGAAATTACCTTCACATTACAAAACTTCAAAAAGGAATCGAAAGTGTTTGTCAGTATATTTGTAAATTCGTGGGTAAGAGGGAGAACTAGACGAGAAGTTCACGCGCATCTCTTTCGTCTTCGAAGTGTTCAACTTCATGTAATTATCACATGTCCATTCCTCACACGCTTTCACGGCTGAGGGGAGATTAGATTGGGAGTCTCGGTGTAGAACGTCCCACGTTGTGGAATTATCGACGAATTTGACAAGGTGTGTAGCCGGTTTGAGATCATTTACCATGATTAAAAAAGTAAGGGACCTGGTTTTGTTCCCTGTGGAACGCCAGCTTGTATATACTTCCAAGCAGAGTCGTCTTGACTAATCTTTGTCCTCTGTAATCTGTTAGACAAGAAGTCGGCAATACAATTAATGAGAACTGGGTGTACGGCCATTTGCTGAAGCTTTCTCAGTAAGACGTTATTATCGATCCGATCAAAGGCTTTTGAAAAGTCTAACAGGCAGATCCGTAAATTAAAGTTATGAGACAGCACGTTGGTCACATTCAAACCTGCTAAGTTATAATCTCATAGAAACAGGACAGGCTGGTCAACGGCTACAAAAGAAGGCAATATTCAATGAAAGACTAAATCGAATAAAAGACTAACTGAACAATCATATATCAACAACGAACACGCAAAGCAAAGTTCAATGTGATAAGGACTTTCACATTCACAAATATCCAAACAATCAACCATGTCTTGTTAGCGAGAAAGAAAATTTGAAAAATTTGACTTGGTGTGAAGCGAGAAAGAATCACGGACGACACATAAACTGAGACGATTTAACCGCAAAGAGTCAATGAATGCTGGAATCGATATATCGTGGATATAAAAACAGCAGTCGGTGACTCCAGTCCGTATGATTCAATGAGACACAGAATTCTACCTGGCAAGCGCATGCTGTTACTCTTCTGGTGGACAAAACAATATAAAAAGAGACCAATGTTGCTTTGAAACTGAAATGTGAAGAAAACAATTGGTCGTTTATAGATAATAGTAATATAAACAGCTTACATTTAAATCGCAGGGGCTTACACCTAACTCATGAAGGGAGTGCCCTATTACAAGCCAACATAGGAAATATATTAAAATGATATGATAAGAGGCCGAGGGGGAAAGATAATGAGACAAATTGGTCAGATATTCCTAAATTAAGAGGTTTTAGAATGGCTATGCTCAATATAGCTAGCCTTCCGAAACACCTTGACGAAATTCGCCTGCTATTGCATGATAAAAAATTGGATATCTTGGCACTAAATGAAACTCGCCTTGACTCCTCTATTTCGGACGACCTTATGAGTATCGAGGGTTACGATATACTGTGCTCTGATCGAAAACGAAATGGAGGGGGAGTATGTATATACGTTAGGTGTCATGTAAACTATGAAAACCGTCCAGATTTAATTCCAAACGATCTAGAAGCCGTTTGTTTGGAAATAAAACAAGCCAATAGTAAGTCTTTCATTTTTTCGAGTGTTTATAGACCTCCAAATACAACTGTTGAGACTTTCTCAAAAATTGAAAGGCTAATTCAATTAGTGGATGATGAAAACAAAGAAGTTTACATGTTAGGTGATCTAAACTGTAATCTACTCGATTCAAATTTGTCGAATGTTAAAATGCTTCAGGAAATAATGCAACTGTACCAATTAACACAAATAATTGATGATCCTACACGTGTTACCAAATCTACAAAATCATTACTTGATGTTTGCATTACTTCCTCTCCGGATAAAATTATTCAATCAGCCGTGGTGCATCTCGGTATAAGTGATCATATTTTAATCTATGCAACACGTAAACTAAATTCCGTAATTAAAGGAAATTCTCAAAATTCGGTTGAATTTAGAAACTTTAGGAAATTCAATGTTGAAAGCTTTCTTAGTGACTTGTATATGCTTCCATGGGTAGAGCTTGACTGCAAACAAAACGTGGATGAAATGTGGGAATGCTGGAAAACCTTATTTCTTCAAGTGCTTGACAAACACGCACCGAAGAGATTAAAAAGATTAAGGAAAAAGGGTAATGTTCCCTGGTTCAATAAAAGTGTTAAAAATAAGCTGTTTCAGAGAGACCACTTTAAGCGCATAGCAATAAAAACCAATAATGAAAATGATTGGAAGCTGTACAAATCATCTCGAAATGCTGCAAATATTGCCTTGCGAAATGCTAAAAGGGAATACTATGCAACAAAATTCCTCAATAACAAAACGAACCCAAAATATGCGTGGAAAACAGTTAATGAGATACTAGGAAGAAGTCAGAAGCAAAATATTGTTAACGAAATTAATCTACCAGAGAAACAGTTACATCAACTATTGAACTGGTTAATGTTTTTAATGATTATTTTACCGATGTTGGTCCTACACTTGCTGAAAAAATTGAATACGAACACAACTGTAGCTTTCGAGATTTCATTCCTCAACATGAACCAGTTGAGAGATTTATTTTCCAACCTGTAAATGTTGCAACAGTTTATAGGCTTATAACCAAATTAACTATCTCCAAAGCTACAGGTATTTACGAAATTTCAGCTAAAGTATTAAAGGCTGCAGCTCCTGCTATTGCAGAGCCTTTAACAAGGATTTTTAATATGTCTATTGCCACTGACAGATTCCCGATGGAGTGGAAAGCAGCACGAGTAACTCCAATTTTTAAAAAAGGCCAACGGACTATGTTAGACAATTATAGACCAATTTCAATTTTACCTGTGGTCAGCAAACTGATGGAAAGGATTCTGTACGACCAAATGTATGATTATTTAAAGAAACAGAATATTCTTTCAGAACATCAGTTTGGTTTTAGACAATTTCATTCCACAACTACCACACTTTTAGATTGTACTAATGAATGGTATATTAACATGGACCGTGGCCTATACAACATAGTTGTTCTTTTCGATTTAAAGAAAGCATTCGATACTGTCAACCATGAAATTCTTTTACGTAAGGTCGAACGGTATGGCTTTGGTAATAAAGCCCTAGATTTACTAAGTAATTACTTAACAAATCGAACACAAAGATGTCAGCTAAATGGAATGCTTTCAGATCAAAGAGGAATAACTTGCGGCATCCCTCAGGGAAGTATACTTGGCCTTCTTCTGTTTATTATCTATAAAAATGATTTGCCAAATTGTCTCAAACATACAACACCAAGGATGTTTGCAGACGATACCAGCCTTACAGCTGTGGGCAAAACGTTAAATGAAGCAGAAGAGATAGCGAATAAGGATTTGAAAAATATTAAAGTGTGGTTGTCTTCAAACAAACTTAGCTTAAATATTGCGAAAACGGAATATATTTTGATTGGATCACGTTCTAAGATTAATAGCATGGATGTCCAACCCACAGTTAAGATCGACACATGTCCAATCAAAAGAGTAAAAAGCGCAAAAGTGCTAGGAGTTGAAATCAATGAGAACCTAAACTGGGAAAAACATATTGAATATATCGCTAGTAAAGTATCTTCGGGGATTGGTGCGTTAAAAAAACTTAAAGAATTTGTAGACCGAGATACATTAGTGCTGGTGTATAATGCATTGATCCAGCCGCATTTTGATTACTGTTGTGAGGTTTGGGATGAGCTTGGCAAAGGCCTCGGAGAACGTCTTCAAAAATTGCAAAATCGAGCGGCTAGAGTAATTATGAATTTTAAAAATGAGTATGGACAGTCTATCTTAGCTCGTACTGCTCTTGGTTGGACATCCCTTGAAGAACGTAGAGCATTAATGAAGGCCAAACTCATGTAAAAAACAGTAAATCAATTAGCTCCACAAAGACTGTGTAACATTTTCCAATCTTGCAACACTGTAAATAGTTAAAATTTAAGAGGTTCTTCAACTGGGCTTTTTATTCCAAGGCCCAGGACAGAATTTATTTAAAAAATTTCAGTTACAGTGGGGCTAAATTATGGAACAGAATACCAGAAAATATTTGAAATTCGATATCTTACAACTCGTTTTGTAAAAACCTTTTCTCCTCGCCCTCGGCCTTATTAATTTAAGTAGTTTATTTAAATGAATATTTAATAGATTTATATAATAATAGTTTGTATGTATTAATAAATTAGTTTTTAAATTGTAACAATTAGCCAGCACACCTCTCATGGAAATCAGCTTAGTGTTGAATGGGACTAGTGTGCTTAAATAAAGTTTATCTATCTATCTATCTATCTACCATTAACTGGAACCGCCGCTGGGGGAATTGTACTGTACAAAAAATACATCTTAAAATTTATGGCCGAGCTTGTACTCCCGCATGGGCATAACGTCGGAAACCTTCCATCACATAATGGAGGATAACTTTAAATTAAACTTCCAATTCGCTATGTTCTCATATAAAATGTAAATAGCCGAGCGGAATTAGTATCCTCGCGGGTCTCGCCTCGGGCTTACGCCAGGAACGGCGCTTTGCCCGTTTGCTGGAGGATTAATTTTTGAGCATACAATTTTAAAAGAATTATGCTGTGTCAGTTTAATTGTTAATAAAGACTTAATAATTCCTCTTTTTTGTCATCAAAATTAATATATTTAATAGTTAGACTAATTTCAACGTTAATTAATAGATAGGAAGTAAACATGCAGGCATGGTTTGCGTTTCTAATGGATAATAAACAAATTTTCGAGAAAGCTTTACAATGATCGAGATCCATGCGCAAAAAAAAACATGGGAATCAAAAGCACATCAATTCATCAAACTGGCAGTGATTCAGTTAAATTAATGTCCAGATCTTTATTAGCTGTCGACGGAAACTGATATTAATTACTATTACGATATTATAAGGAATTAAACGCTTACACGCATATTTTCCTCGCGCTTCGAGTCTCATCTACAATCTAAGCAAAAAGTTAATGAAACACCTATAAAAAATCAGTGAAATAGACAAAATCCCCTCCCCCCTGAACAATGTTGGGCGTACATACTGGATGTTTCATTAGTTTTTGCCAGGATCGTAGCTCCACCTGTTAAATCCCATACGAGGTCAAGAGATCGTTTCCCGTTTCAAAATTTCGAATCGTGTTCTATGTGAATCGCTTAAGTGATAAGCAAAGACGGTACTATGCCCGGAAAACAACATGAAAATCGTATAATTACAAGAGGCTGTATATTATACTGTAAAAAGACTTAAATTTCTAAAGATTTTGGCATCTTACACGACAATTGGTTTCTGTAGAACAATTGCATAACAGTTGGCTTTCCAAGTGATATATATTCCACAGCATCGTCAAAAGTAGACGGTGAAGTATATAGTTTGAAATCGGATTCTTGCATGAGGAAGTAATCGAGCAGCATGGTTAATTGTCCTGCATCCTCGTTTCCTTTCATCGGATGTCCAATGTGTTCAATAGGACCATCCAAATATTTCACTTTGCTACCATATTTTTCCTTCGCATAAGTTTTCCTTTTATCCGAGTCGGCGGCTAAAAACCAAATTATTTTCGTCGTATTGTACTTATCTTTGATTTTATTTTCGACTTTCGTTGCGCAGTTAAAAGCATTTCGAATATCTTCGGCATTTTTGTATCTTTTGTCACCTTTGTTGTGATGAAATACAGAATCGCCTTCTCTGATATGAATACCTAAAACAATATTATCAATGAAGCCTAGTTCCGCTTTCAATTGCCGCAAACGATTTTCCAAGACATCGGACTTCTTGAACAAATAGTAAAAATCACATCCCAACATTTGAGGAACATTAGGCCAAATAGGTAAATCATACTTAATAAGATTCGCCAATGCTATGTAGAAACTTCCTCTTAGTCCAGGGTTAAATTCAACGGAGTAATTCAATAATTTTTCGACTTTTGTGTCTGTAATATTCTTTATTTCATTGAAGTCAATTACATAACCATGTCTAATGGACAAACCTGTCTCGTTCACCCTGTAGTTCCACTTTACGTATCGTGGTGGTAGATATTTATCCAGTGGGACAGGTTGATTACAATCAATAATGATAACTCGCTTTGTAATAACCGCTAAATGAAAAACACAAAGTAGCTCTCGCAGCCGATTTCCCCAACCAGCTGCAGAACATGTCACGATAAGAAATTTATTCTGATTTGTTGCCAATAAATGA